CGTGACCACCAAAACTTTGATGTCATCATAGTATACATAGAAATAACAGATATGACCGAATTAATCAAAGTTGCTCTCCCCACAATGTTAAGAGCCTTCGATTTCCATCCGTTTTACCTCGGAGTCACTATCAATGATTTCACTATAAGTGTTCTTAGTAACCCGACTATGAATCAATCGCACTTCGATATACTTTCCTATATCCTTGGTAGAACACATTTGAAGAATTTGTCCCAAAGATTGCCCCACATGCCCCCTAGCTTTAGGTGAAATAAAATATTTGGACTTCTCATAGCTGACTTTAGCTCTTGAAGCATTGCAAAAGTACTCAAGAACATGCTTAATAACACAAGCTTAACTCTCTGTAACATTCCCAAACAAAAACAAATCATCAGCAAAGAATAAATACGAGACTCTCGGTCTATCCTTCCTAAACCTCACCGGTTTCTAATGCCCTATATCCATCTCCCATTAGATCAAATAACCCAATCTTTCCATATAAAGTACAAATATGTATAGAGAAATAGAATCCTCCTGACGAAGTCCTCTGGAAGGAGAACTCAATTTTCTCACCATTCCAAAGAATCAAAAACTTTGTTCTTCGAACACATAACAGCAGAAGATCCACCCCAGAATGCGGAAAGTCGAAGAACATGAGGGTCTTTTCAAGGAAGTCCCACCAAACTCTATCACACTCCTTTTCAAGGTCGATCTTGATCGCAACAAGACCATTATTCCCTTTACACCGATTCGCTCTATTAATCATTTCCTGAGAAAGAATGATGTTATCGGTAGCTTGACGACCCAGAATAAATCTTGTTTGAAACGGAGCCACCAAGTTATATAAGTACGGGCGAAACCTATTTACCAAAACTTTGGTAATTAATTTGTAAGCCACATTACATACGCTTATAGGTCTAAATTGTTTTATCGACTCTGGATGAGAGACTTTCGGAATTAGACAGACTATAGTCTCATTAAGCTCAGCAGGATAAGAACCCGACTCCAAAGCTGAGCTCACCATAGAACACAAAGACGAGCAAACGTCTTCCAAAACGTTTAATAAACACCAACTTGGAAACCATAAACTCCCGGGGGATTTCCAAGGCTTCATCCTAAACAAAGCTCGATGAACTTCTGACTCTGTAACCACACTTGACATTAACTGACATGCTTCAGCACCTAGCTTGGACAATTTAACGCTGTAATAGAAGAATTACAAAAGGCCTCAACATGGAACAACTCCCGAAAATAGTTAAATACCATACCTGCAACAAACCATAGTCTCAAATCCAATCCCCATTACAATATTTTAACATCTCAATCTTGTTTCTTTGTCGTTGAGTCACCATTAGAAGATAGAAAAAAATGAGAGTTACGATGTCCATACTACAACCACCGTACTCTATATTTTTGAGCCTAGAATATTTCTTCTTGACGAAGTAGGGCATTATATTCATTAATCAGTTTACTCTAAAGTAAATCCAGCTGATAAGAACGATGATGTCCGATAATGCGTTGAAGACCGAAACTTTGTGCTCTTAAACTATTTTTCTAGCCAAATAAATTGCCGAAATGGCATCGGTTCCACTGTAAAAGAGCAATAGCCAAAGCCTTGGTATTAACAAAAAAATCGTCACCCAAAGAAGACCAAACCAAGTTCACGTGGTTCTGAAACCCCTCATTCTCTAACCACATTACTTGAAAGCGGAATGGTCACTTCGATCTATCTATAATTTGCACCGGGGTACATTGAATGAGCAAAGGACTATGATCCGAATGGAGTCTAGGCAAGTGCAAAAAAAAAAAAAACGCTTCAGGGAATAAAGTACACCAACCTGAATTTGCCATGTCCCTATCTAGCTGAGCTTGAATACGAGCAGAACCATATCTCATATTCCACCAATTGAATGGGGGTCTCTGAAAGCCTAAATCCATAAGATTACACTACTGTATTAGATCATGAAAATGTCGACACTGAGATAGGGAAAGATGATTTCCTCAACTATTTTCTGATGAATCGATAATATCGTTGAATTCACTCGCAATAATCCAGAGGATACCAGAAGTGCTTGCAAACTCCTCGAGATTTTCCCAGGGTCTTCTCTGTGTTTCAATAACTGGGCTCGCATGAACAATAGAAAGCAGAAATGGCTCCAAATTCACACTTTGCACCTGAATCATCCCAAGAAATCTAGATACCTCCAGAAAACCTGTCAAGATCCACAATAAAACAAATACCAAACGATAACATTTTAGCTACAGCCCTCGCATGTTACCCAACGATCATCGGTTCAACTAAAGCAAATAATCTTCTGCGGACTCCCCTCAATATTAGACCCACTGCCGCTGTGACTTTGCTGTCCAATAGCTGGGGGATGTGCTTCGGGAGGCTCTAAATTTCTGGTATCCTCGACAGCAGACCCAACATTCAACATTTCTACCATTATTTCATCACCATCAGAAATTGGACCTTGGGGATCTTTGCCAACATCCCTAGCAGTACGTAGATTTCCATTGTTCACATTTGAAGTAGTTGTATGCATGGCTAAGGTAGCCGACATATTGGGGACCACTTGCTTTAAAGGTTGACTTTTGGTAACTTTGGGGGGGCTTGGTTTTGCCAATAACATGATTTTCTCTCCTGCCATGTGAAACTTGCCTCATTACTTCAATATTCTCCTTGGCAATAGGGGGCACAATCCTGGGCATTCATTTCAAATTGATTTGGTTCATTCCCATTAGAGATGTCCATTAATGGAGAGAATTTGGATCCCCCATTATTTTTTCCATGATTAAGCACTTTCCCGTTATCTTCCCCTTTTTGCCTAGAATTTCTCCTCGATTTAAGCCACTGGACAATCATCCATGGACCAAAATCCAATGGCACGGCTTTATCGGCGACTGCCGAAGAAACATCCCAATCTTTTCCCCATTTTCCCCTCCAGTGTTGTTAGTCGGTGCATCATCCACCTGCATTGGTTCTTTACTCGAAGGAGCAGAGATGAATGAACAATTTTTGTGGCCAAACATTCTGCACTTAAAACAAATCAGTGGTAGTCTTCATATTCAATCTGGTGCCATCGACCATCCACATCAATCTTTGGCACCAAAGGTTTCCCAAAATCTATTTCCACACATACTCACGCGAATCGTCCTTTAGTGGCTTAACTTGTATTCTCGTCAACCTTTAGAGCACGATCGAGAGAGAGTTACCCATAGCAAAAAGAATACGATCATTGTAGTATTGGATCGGGAGTCCTAGAAAACGTACCCAAATAGCAGTAGAATCAGTCGTCATCGTTGAAGGATGAAACTCCGGAAACCATTTACGAACCGTAAGATAGTGCCCATAAATGATCCAAGGTCCCTCTTCCATAGCAAATCGAAGATCATCCGAGGAAGAAAACTTTACAAGAAAGTAGCCATCTCCGACATCAATTAGTTCATGATCTGCCTTGGGCATCCACATTTTCCTGAGACGTTCGTTTAGAGCCCGAAAACCAATCGACCTCCTTATGAACTTCAAAATGAGACAATTGGTCCATCGAATGTGGAGTCTGGCTCTGAATTTCACCGATGTACAAATCATCAGCCAAGACTCCTTTGTAGAAACTGAAATCAAACCATCATTTTTGTCTGAAGGACCGAACTCATCACCATCCTGAAAACCATTAATCATACTTTTACCTAGCAACATATTTCTATAGGACATCCTCTCAGTTTCTGACTCAGAGGGTATAGGCACATCTCCCATCTCCATATTATCCCTAGCAACGGGATACTCTCCGGTCACCGATGCTTTGATCTTCTTCGTACTTCGGGTTAACAGATCATGTTCCTGACTCGATTTCTCCAAGTTCTACAAGTTCTCCATTCACCACTAATATAGCTTTGCTACAACTTTTCACTTTTCTATTCTTATTTTTTATTTGAGTTAAATTTTAAGAACAACACATTAAGAACCAAGACTCGATTATTTTTTAACCACTGTAAATTATTTAAATTTTCAACACCCAATTAAATTTTAATGAAAAAAATACTTCAATTGTTTCAACTAAAAGAAATTATAACAAATTATAATTAATTTAGAAAAAAATATCAAATCAACTAAATTTTATTTGATTAATAATTAAAAAATAATTTAAATAAAATTAAAAAATTAATTTAATTTTACCATCAACTAAATAAACCGATTACACACTCTTACATGAAAACACTATCAGAAAAATATTGCAAAATGAGATGAAGTTTATTGTTTTTGGTAGCACATTGTCCCTCGCTAAGCATGCATTTCCAGGGTTATAAACGAGTCGAGTCGACCTCAGTAATATTTGTATTCGATTTAATTAAAAAAATTTAAAATAGAGCTCGATTTAATTTAAAAATTTGTGAACTTAAAATTTTTAATCTTGACTTGAACATGAAACTATGAAATGAGCTCGAAAAACTAAAATGACTCAAAATAAATTAAAAAAATCTTAAAATTAACTTAGTTAAAGCTCAAACTAGAACGCAGACAAGAATCTTAAACACATGAAACCTTATATTGTATTTTTAAAAAAACAATACATAAATATTAATATTATTAAGAATTTATGTTTAAAAAGTTATAAAATTTTAATATATTAGTTTTTTGAATTGTTCGTAAACTTTTCGAGTTAAATATTCGTTTCGACTAAGTAATAACTAGAGTTAAACTCAAACTCAAATTAAATATTTATCAAACTTTAACTAAATCAATGTTTGATTATACTATCGTTGACGTCCCTATGTGTTTCCCATCTCCTTACCAAACGTTAATGTAGTTAAGGAAAGCAAGCAAAAACCCTAAAAAGCTCATATTGTTGTTGACTTGACCCTGATTTTTTTATACACAAGGAAAGTGATGGATTGAGCTTGACCAAAAATTATCCATTGTGTCTGTCTGGAACGGGAGATTAGCCAAAACCAAGAAAGCTTCTTTTATTTTCATTGTTCATTACTCGCACTGGAAGCATTCGGCTCTGAGTTTCGAGTCCAAGAGATACCAAATTAAACTATTTTATTTCGGCCGATTTCGCAGTTTCTAGCAAATGGCTACTACCAATCTTCAGTATATCCTAAACCCATTCCCAAGACCCACTTTTTCTCCGAAACTTTTAGCTACTAAAGCTCCAAAAATGGTGTTCAAGTGTGGTTGTAGCAATAACAGTAGCACTCGTGTAGGGGAAGATGTTTTCTCCCTCACTTCTTCCAGCGAATGTGATATTGATTATCTGGGACAAAGCACCAAAGGCGATTTAAACGTCAATCTGCAACATCTTGAGACTTTCGGTATTCTTTCTGTGTTTTTCTTTTTTCTACCTTGCATTTGGTTACTTTGTTTCTGGTTTGTCACTTAGTTTGATTGTATGTGTACTTTAGAACAAATGGTATCTTTCAAATCTCTTCTTTCTCTACTTTAACAATGGTGATGATCATAATATATACTGTGTCTTTCTGGGTTATGCTTTTTACCAATGTAGGGCTTGATGGTGAGGCCACTTTAGAAGGTCCAATTGAACAGGTAGCTAGGCTGGAGGCAGAGGAGGCTGGGGGTTTACTCAGAGAGCTGGGTATTACGGTGCTGTAAATCCATCCTTTTCTTTTAACTTAAAGTCTTATCGAACTCTCGGTTTCTTATGCCTCACATTATCCTAATTATAAGAGTTTCTAGTATGTGCTTTCTGGTAAATTAATTTGTTTTTGAAGCTGGATCTATTTCTTTCTTACCTGCTGGAAATTGGTTGGATTTATTTCAGAAGCAGGCATGCTGTTTTTTGTCAACCTCACCTGTGTCATTTTCTGGTCTGCAGAGTCCCTCAGCAGCAAGGCTCTCTTCTCGTGGTATATTTTGCAGCCGGACTCTGAATCTTAGGTCGATAAGTGCTATAGGATATGACATGGACTACACTTTGATACACTATAACGTGATGGTGAATATCAGTTGACATTCATACAGATTGGAAATCACTCTAGATTCAGTTTGATGCTTTCATCAACATAAATGGATTTGTCTCTCCTTGTTGCTATTTTTGATTTTATTATGTGGATTGATTCATTTTCAGGCTTGGGAAGGGCGTGCTTATGATTACTGCATGGAGAATTTGAAGAATATGGGTTTCCCAGTTGAGGGACTTGCCTTTGACCCTGATTTGGTAATGTCTTCATTTCTGTCTGAGCATACTCATGGCTTCTTATTGAATTGTTTTCTCATAATTTCATGGCCCTAAACATGATTTTTCTTTTTCGGTTTTCTGTAGGTAATTAGGGGTCTTGTTATTGACAAACAAAAAGGAAATTTGGTTAAGGCTGACCGGTTTGGCTATGTGAAAAGGGCCATGCATGGCACTAAAATGCTATCTACTCAAGCTGTTAGGTATGAATTTGAGCAGTGTAACTTTAGCTGTTGGTAACTATTATGATAGATTGGATCTGTAATGCGTGGCTACAGTTTCAAGTGTAGTACAAACCATCTTATAGGGAACATATGATATAGACAAATGGTACTGGATCAATTTGCCTTGGTATCTCTACTGTGCTTTCATATACTAACCTCTGTGTGCATTACATTTTCTGATCTGATGGATGGCTCTCTTGTCAATCTATTCGGTTTCTTAGTTGTCTTCTCAGTATTTCATGTTCCCTTGCATTATTTGCGGCATATTTTCAATAGTGGCGCTTAACTTTCTATGCTTGGAAGCGAGATTTATGGGAGAGAACTGGTGGACCTGCGGAAGGAGAGTCAGTGGGAGTTCCTTAATACGTTATTTTCTGTTTCAGAAGCTGTTGCATATATGCAGGTACTTTCTTCCTGTTTAAGCTACAAACAGCAATCTAGATTTCCTTAGAAACTGTTTTTAGGTCACTTGCACTTCATAGTGAAATTTTAACAAATGAATTACTTCCCTTCTTGATGTAATTAGCAATTATGGGATACCTGCTGCCATTTTATGAGTTTCTTCATGTTCCTGGTCTACTTAATAAATTTGTGTCCTATGTATCTACATTGGCTCTTGCGTGGTGATTGTAAGATCTCATAATCCATATTAAAAAATCTTTAATTGCTACCTTAGTATCCCTTTGTTCTGACTTGCATTGTTGCTAAGAATTTGCTCAACTAGACAGTTATTGTGTAAATAATTTAAACTTTATTTCATAGTCTTATGATTCATTTTAGAGATAATTTCTTTGTTATATGGTTTTACTTCCAGATGGTGGACAGATTGGATGATGGAGCGATTCCTGCAGATCTTGGTCCACTGGACTATAAAGGACTTTACAAGGTAAATTATTGCTGTATATGTGGTATTTAATCCGACTCTTATATGAATATGTGCTTATTTTGTGGCTCTTTGCTCGGTTTAAGGCTGTTGGAAAGGCTTTATTCAGGGCACATGTAGAAGGTCAACTTAAGGTAAATAGAACCAGGAAAGTTTGACCATTAAGCGTTGTGGTCCATGAGTTCATACTGATGGGTCACGTTATGCAGAGTGAGATAATGTCCAAACCTGAATTATTTGTGGAGCCTGATCCAGAGCTACCTTTAGCACTTTTGGATCAAAAGGAGGTATTTCTTTTACAGTTTTACCTTCTCATCTGGTTCGTCGCGTTAATTTACTCTATTTTTTTATTTATGTGTACATTTCATGATCAGGCAGGTAAAAAGTTGCTGCTTATTACAAACTCAGATTATCAATACACAGACAAAATGATGCGGCATTCTTTTAACAGATTCTTGCCCAATGACATCTGTTGGCGAGATCTTTTTGACATGGTATGTGTTTCTGCATGCTCAGTAATGTTCCTCGTCCAGCTTTGAGTTTAGTAGACTCTGCTAATATCATCAAACAAACAAGTCCGCCATTAGGATAAAACCAATTAATCATTAACCAATTACGGAAACAAACCAATATATTATATATCAAGGAATCCAGAACAAGGTTTTGGCAAATACATTCTAGGATGACTTTAACTTGGACCCAATGGTTGGGTCTCTGCCTTACCATTGAGTAAGGTCCATTTGGCTTCTTTCTGTTGATGTTTTTAACAGAATACTATTTTTTAGATTTGTTTCTTCAAATCATATTAAGAAAACCGATAATCTTTGATCTCATGACCTGAAAATGATAATATGTAATATGGAAAACAATAGCTCCAGTATAGTCTTCTTCATGCACAACCTTTTGCGATTGGTTTTCTTGCAAGTATGAACTTGCTCTAAAGAAGGAAATATTAATGTTTGATTAGATTTGATGGCATTCAAACATATTGATGTAGTTATGTTTCCTTGCTGTTCTGTATGTGTATAGGTAATAGTCTCAGCAAGGAAGCCAGAGTTTTTTCAAATGTCGCACCCATTGTATGAGGTGGTGACCAGTGAGGGCTTAATGCGTCCATGCTTCAAGGCTCGTACAGGTGACCTATCTCTGTAACATATGTTTTGATCTTATTATTTACAATGTTACATTTTATATAGGAGAAAATGAGAGTGCAAAAATGTTTTTCCTTAGTTCTTTTGATCCTGTTTCTTGGTTGTCGTTGATGCCAGCATATGGATGAAATTTTGGGGTTGAGAGAGATAAAACTACTGACTGCGTATTTGATTGGGTATTTGAAAGCTATGTAATAGCTGCAGCATTTTCCATAGCTAAAAGTTTAACCGTGTAGTGCACATTGTTCTAAATATCTTCTCAACCGGAACTTCAGGGTGCTAAGAAATTACTCCCCGTGACACATGAGCTTTTTACTTTCGATGACTTCACTTTTGGCACCCTGAACCAATGATTTAGTCATAGGATATATTTTTCTGTCTATCTTGCAGTGTGTGCCAAAAAAAATCACAGTTTGCTCATAATTTGGCATTCATATTTATTCATCTTTTGTTTCTTCTCCAGGGGGGTTGTACTCTGGGGGAAGTGCTCAGATGGTTGAGAATTTCCTAAATATCCATGGAGATGAGATTCTTTATGTTGGCGATCATATTTATACTGATGTAAGTCAATCCAAAGTCCATTTACGATGGCGAACAGCATTGATTTGTCGAGAACTGGAGGAAGAGGTATGAAACTGTTCCTTTACTATGCTTTCTATTTCCTAGATTGAAGCAGAATTATTTGTTTCAGAGCTTCGGTTCTATTTTGTGCCAATAGTTTATTGTAATGATTTGCTTACTAATTGTTGAGGATGAATTTAATCAGAACTATAATGTAAAGTAAAAGGGTTACCATTGAACTTGAAGTGGTAGTAATTACTGAACCGTTGTTGAAAATAAGATTAATTTTGAGATCAGTAAATTTTGACTATGGATAAAACTAAGTTGTAAGGCATTCTTTTAAATCCTTGACTGTTGAGGGCTGAAAAGGGTCTTTATTGCATGCATCAACAGTATAATGCTTTGATACTAAGCCGGGGTCATCGTGCGACTGTGATAGAGCTTATAAATCAAAAGGAGGTTGTAGGGGATCTATTTAACCAACTACGGTTGGCTCTGCAACGTAGAATCAAAGGACGTCCAGCTCAGGTGACTTTATCCTATTACACGATGCCCCTTGTAATCCCTCGTATTTTTATCCCTTCTTCTTCTTCATGCTACAATGTAATCACTATCTAGAATAATTTACTTAATGGAACATATAATTAAAATGCCTTTTTGTTTTTATATCTGCAGTCTCATTGCTAAAAGTGACGTTCTAAAATTTTGCAAATCATACATATTTTGTACCCGTTGTCTTATCATCGGTAATCTTTGTAAGGGGAAGCGGCATTCACATTCTCTCTGGTTTCTTGTGGCACCAGTTTCCTTTATTCATTCTGTAATCATGCTTATATAGGGCTTATTTTTACCTTGCTACTAAAACATATATTCGCAGATAAGGTGTGTATTCCGTTGGTGAAATAACAAAGTTCTTATTTTCTTCTTCGTGCTTTTAGACACTTGCTGCAACTAACATGGATGACCGAGAACTGACAGAGAGCATGCAGAAGCTTCTTATTGTCATGCAAAGGCTCGATGAGAAGATTGCTCCATTGCTAGAAGCAGATGGAGAGCTGTTTAATAAAAGGTAAAACAAGGACAGAGAACTTACATCTCTGGAGATTATTAGATTCATCTCATTTGTATATTACAAAATTAGGTAATGTTGAATATATGAATGCTCACATCTGTGAAGCCAACTGGTTAAAAGATTAAGATTAGTTGATCATGTATGTTTCGTTGTCGGTGATTTGCATAGAAGCATGCATTGTAAACCATTAGAAACTGGTGATTGAAATAGTATGAAACGTTTTGGTTTAGGTGGGGCTTCCTTTCACGCGCCGGTCTGTGGGACAAAAGTCACTTGATGCGACAAATTGAGAAGTAAGTGGTCATGGCCTTGTCTTGATATACATTTTTCTGAAATTTGCAGGTATGCTGATATATATACATCTAGAGTATCAAATTTTCTGATATATATATTCACACGTATGAATCAATTTGTAATTTGCAGGTATGCTGATATATATACATCTAGAGTATCGAATTTTCTGAATTATACCCCTTTCATGTATTTCCGGTCACAAGAGCAGGTAACGCAGAGTGTTGACTGATGCAAAAATATAATATGGGGTATTGAGTTAGTTGAACTGACATTGAGACGATGTTGTTTGTGTTTGTGGTTGCAGACACTTGCTCATGATTCATATTCACATGACCGTTCAGAACAAAACGGAGAGTGAAATTCGGAGTCGTCTTCTGGTGGTGATGGTGACGATAATGATGTTTTCAAAGATAAGTGTATTCTAAAATACTATTTAAATAGTAATCATGTACTAATATATTTCGAGTAAACCACAAATGGATTAGCTGAGCTGAGCTGAACCGAGCAAGAAGTTTAGACTGTTTTGTGTTTTTAGCTTAGTTGTTTATAGTATGGTGCGGCCGTGGGTCGTATTCGTGGATCATTCATACTAGGAATCAATATGATTATTGTCACCATATTGTCCGAACCCGGTTCTCCTCTACTAACTTATCGAATAACTTGTTACTTTGTATCGATACATTATCTCGAATCATGGCAATGTGATTCATGTTAAAGGGGCTGTGTTTCGGGTCGGTATGCGTAGGGGCATAGGTAAGTAAGGCTTAACAGAACTACCACTAGCAAGGGAAGTTGCACCAACCAACCCTAGAGGAGGGCTAATGAGGAGGTTTGCACTAACGTGACTTTGAACCAATCATTACATTGGTAGATTGTGATGAGACAACTTGAACCGAAATCTATATTTGAGTATGATTAGGGTCTACGCATGCATAATCATACATCAATGCACCATAAAATGCCATAATTCAAGGGCATACATCACCATCAGATTGTAGTTTAGTCACTGTCCAATTTTCATTCTCTTTCTCTCTCATCAAATGAGTTAATTCCTTGAAAAGGTATGTACCAATTACATCAATAACACGAGCACCATGAGCGTGTAATTGTGCTGTCATCAGTAATCGATGAATAGGGTCTACGCATACATGCAAGGGCCGATGCACTAAGCCTTAGGTGCCACGTGCTTCCCTATTATTTAGGAAATTTAGTTTAATATGTTAAGAAAAATAAAAAAATAAAAGTTTTCGCATACCCATTAATTTTAAGAATATTAAAATTTCAGATCATCATTTTTAAATTTTTGGATTCGCCGTTATTACGTACATGCATGTAGTTTAGTATGATTAGGGTCTATACATGTATACATACATACATCGTTGTACCACAAAATGTCATATTTAAAGGGTATATATCACCATCATATTGTAGTTCAGTCGCTGTCCAATTTTCATTCTCCTCTCTCATCAAATGAGTTACTTCCTACAAAAGGTATGTACCAATAAAATCAGTAACACGAGCACCAGGAGCATGTAATTGTGCCATCATCAGTAATGGATGAATAGGGTCTACACATGCATGCATACATACATGCATGTAATTGAGTATGATTAGGGTCTACGCATGCATACATACATACATCAATGCACCATAAAATGCCATATTTCAAGGGTATACGTCAACATCATATTGAAGTTTAGTCACTGTCCAATTTTAATCCTTTTTTCTCTTATCAAATGAGTTTCTTATTCGAAAAGGTATGTTGTGCCATCATCAGTAATGAATGAAAGAAACCGGCTGCATACAGTTGGAAAATGATTCACATTAATGGCGGTGATGATGCAGTATTACTGGTGCATAGAGATGCCAGTTGTTAATTCATCTGTTGGGTGCATGATGATGTGAAAAACCTTAAGCAAACCATCAAACTACTCCCATTAACCTTCAAAGTGTTCATTGTCGTCATTAGTTTTTACTCATGCATGTAGTTTGAACAGGTAAATCAGGTTAGTTTGAATAGTTTTGATTTGATTTTTTTTTAAATAATATATTTCGGGTTTAAATCATTTTGAGTTGATCATTAGAGTTTGTTAATTTACTTTTCTGTCAAACCATTATAGGTTCAAGATATTTTTGGTTTTTTTTTCTCGATCGAAAAATCAATTTTTCTAACTCGACGTTAAAACATCCGATTTAACTAAAAAATTTTAAATTTAATTTATAAAATAAAACTAAAGAAATTCAAAACTTTTAATAATTAATAGATTGATTCTCAATACATATTTATAATTAAATTTAAATAAAAATTCTAATAACCCGAATTTTACAATTTGGATCAAAATCACCATCCATATCTCCATCTGGCGAGCAGAGAGGGTTCCTTATCCCACACCTGTCAAACTGTACACGGCAGGGACAGGACATAATGAAATGAAATGAAATGTTTGTTCTTTCTCTGCAGCCATTCAAATCAGCCCGGTTGGCAGTCGGATGATGCGATGTTGACACTCCCCCACGGGTCTCCCATAAAGCACAACAACAATCCAACACAAAAAGGGAATTCATCAAAGTATCTGCTCTAAAACTTGTACCACCAGCGGTCTTACTTCCATTTCCAGGCAAATGCAAAGCCTGTTGTTGTAGTTGAAATTTTGATCCAATGAAGCTCGAACCAACAACAGCAACTCTTAAACCACCTCATTTCAAGCACCCTCGGACCACCAAGGCCAATGACCAGTCTTCAAGGCCCCAAGGTGTGCCCCCCGACAGCACCAAGAACAGCACCAGGAAGAGTTTGGTGATGAACACCAAGCCTAAATCTGGGGACCAACTCCAACTGCAAAAGGGTAGTGTTGTTGAACAGTTTGGAAGGGCTAGGCGTCCTAATCTTGTTAAAGAGAAGAACAGTGTTGATGGACTGAGAGAGAAGCTGAGTTGTAGTGAGGGTTTGGTTAAGGATTTGCAGGCTCAGATGATGGGTTTGCGGGCTGAGTTGGATGGTGCAAGGAGCTTGAATATGGAGCTTGAGTTTGTTAATAGAAAGCTCAGGGACGATCTTGCTGATGCTCAGGTCAAATTAGCTGCTCTTCGAGCCCTCATCCTCACCCTGTCTCGGACCAGGTGCAGGTGCAGGTAAGATCCTTGATTTTGCATATTAACCCAATAGTATGATTATGACGAAGACTCAACTTCTTTGAACAAATTTCTTTCAAGTTTCAAACTTTATTTGAGCTATGTATCAGAAAAAAACTCTTTTTTTGAGAATGCGAGATTTCTAATAACTTCATCTATACGGTTGTGTTTATTGAAAGAAGAGGGTGTCAAATGGAGAGTACCAGAGCCCCAAATTCAAGGACATTCAGAAACTCATTGCCAACAAGTTGGAACACTCAAAAGCTATAAGGGAGACAAAAATAGTTCAAGCACCATTAGGGGCAAATGCTTGTTTGACTTCAAAAGATGCCGGCTCGAAGACGGGTTCACTGGTAATTCATTCCCTGCCACCGCCTCCACCACCACCGTTGCCGCCACCTCCAACACCGCCTCGATTCCCTGCTAAAGGAACCACCACACCCAAGGCTCATTCCCTTATGGTGGACTTGTTGACAAGCCCAGAAAAGAAAAAGGATCCTCCAGCAGCAGCAGCAGCAGCATGGAATCAGAAAAAACCCACAGTTGTTAGCGTGCATAGTAGCATAGTTGGTGAAATTCAGAACCGTTCGGCTCATCTACTAGCTGTAAGCATATAGTATTTCGAATTAGAGATATATAGCTCGTTCTTTTGTTTTCGTTGGTTGTTAAAAGATTGATGACCCTTTTGCCAGATAAAAGCGGATGTCGAAACAAAGGGAGAATTCATCAACAGCCTCATCCACAAAGTGTTGGCTGCAGCCTATACAGATATAGAAGATGTTGTGAAATTTGTCGATTGGCTCGACAAAGAACTTGCATCCTTGGTAAAGTCTCAAAGCTCTCTATGTTATTTGCTTTGATATTGACCTTAATTCTATTCTAGTCTTACTGCATTATTGGTCTCAACACTTCTTGAGTCATGTGTAACTCTTCATGATTTCTATTAGTTGATTGTCCCCGGTTGCCAAAATACGGAGCGGTGGTAATCTCCTTTTTAAGACTCCATGCCTACTATATACTCGTTAATCACCCGGAATCTGCAAAAAGAAATTGGCTTTTGAATTAGGAGATATTTCTTTTTGACAATGGAGAAGTTCTCCATGATATTAAGAAGTCTAAGAGAAGGTATATGTTAATGAGGTAGTTGTAATATGCTGGTGATGAGCATTTGAGTTATTTGCGGTTCCTGTATCCTGCTTCTACAGGCCGATGAGCGTGCTGTGTTAAAGCACTTTAAGTGGCCAGAGAGAAAAGCCGATGCCATGAGAGAAGCTGCTATCGAATATCGTGATCTAAAATTGTTGGAAACAGAGATTTCTTCCTACGAGGACGACACTAGCATTCCCTGTGGACTTGCCTTGAAGAGGATGGCTGGCCTACTGGACAAGTAAGGGCTGCCTAAACTGCACTCTAGTTTATCCGACTTATTTGTGATTTAGTCAGGAAACTGAATGGTTCTGTCACCTTTGTAATCGTTCTAGGTCGGAAAAGAGCATACAGAGGCTTATCAAACTGAGAAATTCAGTAATGCGTTCTTATCAGGAGTGTAAGATTCCGGTCGATTGGATGCTTGATTCAGGAATGGTGTATAAAGTAAGCTCTTTGTTCTTTTCACTCAAGTGTGAACAAAAGAGAAATGTTTAAATTGACTTGCACTCTCAGCTCATATTGAACTGATCTTTCACCATGTCACACGGAAGCCATTGTTAGTGAAGAATTCGTAATTTTTGCAGGTAAAGCAGGCTTCGATGAAGCTGGTCACTATGTACATGAAGAGAGTCGGAACCGAGCTTCAATCGGTACGCAGTTTAGACAAGGAATCTGCACAAGAGGCACTGCTTCTTCAAGGCATGCATTTCGCAAATAGGGCTCATCAGGTAATCTTTGAGCCGTCTTCCTTTCCTGTAAACACAAATACCTGTCTTGGAAATACAATTCTTTACTTCTTTTTCGGGTTAGAGGGTCGGTCCGGTATGAAAAACAATGGAATTTTACAGTTCCTGCTTATGCTTATGAAAACATTCCTTATATAGCTTCTGCTGTATGCGCAGTTTGCCGGAGATCTCGATTCGGAAACGTTGTGTGCATTTGAAGAGATTAGGCAGTACATTCCGGGGCACCTGGTGGGATCCAATGGATTGTTGACCGGAATATCATCGGCATGAGTCGTGTGGCTGGTACATGGATTTCATTTATCAGTACTTTTTTCCATTTTGTCCTCTGAAATAGTGATAGTTGTGGATATATATATATATATATTTACATACATACGTACATATATATATGTATGCACATGGGTGGAGGGAGACTATAATATACACGTGCATTTATGTATGCATGCATGTGGGAGAAGGGAGGAAGGGAGGCTGTCCAGCAAAACAACACATTGAAGAGGTGATGTGAATCCGGAGAATGTAGCACAACCATAGAGTACGCCATCACTTTTGATGATGTTGGGTTCATAACATCTCATGCCTACATACATACATGCATCTCATGCCTACATACATACTTTTGATGATGTTTATTAAGAATGTTGACATTGTTAATGGCCACATCTCCTTTAATACTTTTGAATCCAATCTCCTTTTCATTTTCATTTCCAACTGGAGCTGGTGATATGTGTTTAAGCACTATGAACTCATAGCCACAAACAATACTAATCGAACTAAATAATCGAATTAAGATTCAATCGATCCGAAGTAAATTCGAGACATATTTCGAAGTCGAACTCAACGGACTGGAACAAATATAAAATATATTAATACAATGTACAATCTTACCTAAAACCAACATGACTGCACCTCTTAGATAACTATATATAAGGTCAAAATCTGCATTCACCTTGTACTATATGAAGTATGTGGACTTGATATTTCTACTTTAATTTGCTCAAATTTAGTATATTCATTTTTCCATAATGTAAATTATGGTCCCTCCGTTTATTTTTGTCGTTAGTGCTGTTTTAAAAGTGACATGTCACATGTAAAAAAAGTGACATGTTACATGGTATCACTTGATTGGATTTAAATCCGAACTTAGGTTAAACAGCTGGAGATGTGAAATGTCATAATTTTTTTATAAATTATTCTAAATTTTAAATTAATTATATTTTTTTGGGTAAAGTATAAAGATGGTCTCCGACTATAGGGTATTGTTTTATTAAGTTCCTTAACTATTAAAAGTTATAAAATAGTCATTCGGCTATAGAATGTTGCTTTGTTAAGATACTCGATTATTAAAAGTTACAAAATAGTCACCCGACTATTCATTATGTTCCAAATCATCATTTTCTGTTAAAAAATTGACGGTTGTCTAAATTGAACGCTAACATTATGACTAGGATATGATATTCGTTTGAAATTCTGTGATCATATTTTATCATATCACAATCGGTAGGTTAACATTCAACTCAGAATATTGCCAGTTTTTTTAATAAAAAATGATTAGTTTGGAACATAATGAATAGTTGGATGACCATTTTGTAACTTTTAATAGTCGAGGGACTCAACAAAGCAACACTCTCTAGTCAAAGGACCATTTTATAACTTTTAATAGTCGAGGACTTAATAAAGCAATACTCTATAATCAGGGGACCATTTACTCTATAATCAGGGGACCATTTGTGTACTTAACCCTAAATTTTATTGGTATAACTAATATTGAGTTTTGTGATTTTTAATATTTTCAGAAATAATTTTAATGATCTTTAATAAAATAACTAAAAAATTGGAAAATATTATAATCATTTTTTATAAAAAAAATATTATTTTAATTAAAATATTCATATAGAATTAATGTAATTAATTTCAAGTCTAATTGAACTTGAAAATAATTTATTGTCAATTATATAATAAATATAGTTTAGTTGGGGTATTATAGCACAGGGTTGGAGTCTTTTGAAGGACTTGAGTTTTTGAGATTGAATCCTAGGGTTATTATCATCAATAACATGTATCATATCACTTTTTAAACCGAATTAACAACAAAAATAAATGGAAGGACCAAAATTTTACATTTCGAAAATACAAATACTAAATTTGAGTAAATTGAAGTATAGGTACTAAATCCACAAATGTTGTTCTGAATTTAAGCAGATGTGTTTACAGGATGCGTGTATTGTTAATAATTAATTTTTTTTAACAAATACTATCTTATAATCATCTCACTATTAAAAAAAATTCCTAAAATATTCTATTCGACTACAATGAACATTCTTATACACAGGACGGAGCTATACAAAAGGGAAGGAAAGAGCCCCTCCAAAATTTTTGGTTCTTATTAGTTTAAATTTAAGTAAAAATGGACTTTTCCCTCAAATTTTAATTAAATACATAATAAGTCTTATTATTTTAAATAATAGGTGGACACGTGCCCGCTCGAAGTCAAGTTTCTTTATATTAAATGTTTATTTTACTATGAGTATCCACTGAAATTTTACTTGTGTTATCTCATGCGAAAAATTTCAATAATTAATATGTGCGTGTCCAGCCTCAACAATATTTCTGGATCTGCAAGTGAATGCTTGTACAAAGTTAATAGTGTACGGAGGGAGAATTGTCTCGTTTCCCACGGGTGGTTAATGAATTTGTAGCCTAGTCTCTACACCAAGTTAAAACAAGCATCTTCCTCGTACCCCACTCCTTGCACCGCAAGAAACTTCGTGGACAGCTCCAAAAACACAATAACACCAGACGGAATTATCTAAGAAGCCCATCTCCTTTGTCGGCTGGTCGTCCCCTCCACTGCACACACGTAAAATAAACCCTATTTATTTATCCATGCCCAGTCTTTTTCTCCGCCATTGCTACATTGCATTGGACCTTTCTTCCTCCTCAAGCTTTCCTAGACTCGGGTAAACAAACACTAGGCCTGTGTTTTTTGTTTAAAGCAACACATCACTGATTTTGTCTCATTCTTGCTCAATGCTCACACAGGATAGTACCTCGTAATCATCAATGGGGGATAAGTTTGTTTTACTGGTGATGTACATGTGTTTACTGGCATCTTCGTTCTCCATGAGCATGGCTATGGCTTCTTCCTCAAATGGTGTGGTGAGACTCGGTCTGAAGAAACAGCGGTTAGGGTTTAAGACTGTGCATGGTGCTCCCAGAAGTTACCGTGTATATGCTAAGGGTGACTCGGATGATTCAGGGATGAACATTGGTTTACTTGAAGAACTATTTGGATGTCCAGCATTTCGGAGAGATAGGAATCGGTTCCCCACCACAGAATTTCACTGTCATATTCGATACCGGCAGCTCCAATCTCTGGATTCCTTCTTCCCATTGTCATTTCTCTGTCAGTCCATTAGTCTCTCAACTTCGAAACATTTGGATTCGAGTCTCAAAATGTTAATTATCGTATTGATTAGGTTCTTCCTTCAGCCACTCGAATCATCAGCTTGAATGTTAAATGTTACACCTATGTGACACTCGAGCTGATGGTAGGCCGGCAGAAGGACTTGATCGATTAGAGATCGAGTTAAGATTTGGACATTAGTTTGAGTATGTCTGGTCTAAATAATCTTAGCAAATGTTCTTCTTTTCTTCATGCAGGTTGCTTGCTTTTTCCACTCTAGATACTGCTCTGCCAACTCCAGTACATATACAGAGATTGGTAATGTTTGTGGAGTACGATTTTTTCACGACTATCAACTTTCGATTGATCCCAAACATAGTGTTGTGTTATAATCCAACACCTGCGTGATGAGGCCAGGAGTCAGTCGAATGGTGACGGACTGTGTGATATAAGGAACTGATTTCTCATTGGTTTTTGGTCCAGGGAAGCCCTGCAAGATCAACTATGGCTCTGGAATGATTCTGGGGTTTTTCAGTGAAGACAACATAAAAGTTGGGGACCTTGTTGTCAAAAATCAAATATTTGCAGAAGCTGTGAGAGAAGGAAGTGTAATTCTCACTTTGGCTAGCTTTGATGGGATACTTGGACTTGGTTTTCAGGACATTTCTGTAGGGAATGTTGCTCCACTTTGGTATGCTTCATTGGCTAACCAAATGATCCACCTTTAACATTCTTATTCACCATATTTTCGACTCTTTCGATGCAGGCATAGTATGCTGCAACAAAGCCTACTTGCTGAAAAGGTATTCTCTTTCTGGTTCAACAAAGATCCGTCGGTAAACGAGGGTGGCGAGATCGTCTTCGGTGGCATCGATCCTCGGCACTTCAAGGGACAGCATATTTATGTTCCGGTCGTTCGGAGGGGTTATTGGCAGGTGCACTTCCTCTCTTCACTTATTTGTAATATCAATTCTGTATGAAATTTTCACTGATAAATGTTGTCCTCACCTAGATTGAATTGGAAGATTTTTTAATTGCAGACCAACCTACAGGTAACGCTACTGTATACTTTTAGCATGGCTTGTTGTTTCCCTTTCGTGTAACGGCTTAATAATCGATAATATCCCAATCCGAATCAATATCACAGGTTTTTGCATCAACTGCTCTGCAATAGTGGATTCGGGGACATCCTTCATTGCCGGACCCTCAGTAAGTGCAGCTATCTTCTAATATGCATGGTTACTTGTTTTGCAAGCTATCTTAACAAGATCGTCCAACTTTAAGGCCACCGTGACGAAAATCAACGATGCTATCGGGGCGAAAGGATTCGCAAACCTGGAATGCAAGAAAGTAATTTCTCAATATGGAGATATCATGTGGCAGCTCTTGTTATCTGGGCTACAGCCTGACAAATTATGTTCTAATATCGGTGTATGTTCCTTCAACGGATCTCATGCTCAAAGGTTTGCTTTTTCTTTCATCGATCAGTATACCTATTACAAAACCAGAATAAAGACAAAGATATATGAATCATACGTGCAGTGGCGATATCGAAATGGTGGTAGAACAAAAGAGAGAGATGCACAACGACACCAGAGTCGGGCAGGGCCTTTTATGCGCAGCTTGCGAGTTAATCGTAGTATGGATACAGACCGAGCTCAAGCAAGATAAAACAGAAGGACAAGCAATCGAATATGTTAACAAGGTCCTCTCCCTATCCCCTGCCCCCTTCCATTAGTACTTGCAAGAATTTTTGCTTCAGACTAACAAATTGTAATCAACTTTCTGCTGAAGTTGTGTGAGACTCTGCCAAATCCAACAACACAACTAGCCGTCGATTGTGCCGAAATACCAATCATGCCTAACGTTTCATTCG